ATTAGTCACTATCACTTACCACAGACAATGATGAGCAGCTTCGAAGTCCGTTGGTAACCGTTGGTTGGTTGTTCCAAACTCAAAAAAATTACTAAGATCACGTGTGTGTGTGTGTGTGTGTGTGTATGTTTGTAAGTGAGCCATGATGCTAAATATCCAGCATGTTTTTGAGAATTTTGAGTAGTCTAAAATTCTATTGAAATTCTGAGCCTGTTGATTGCCAACTAGTAGTGAAATCATCACAGATCCATTGATTTTGTTAGGATTTTTATAATTTTTTCTGTGTAATGAGTATAGTGTTTGTTGAAAAGAATGGCATATTGCCTGATGTAATAACTTAAGGAAATAGTTGATTGCCAATGAAGTAAAGATGAAAATAGTGGGGAAAAAAGTGAAAAAACACCTGTTTTTTGCGTCTAATTGATGCGAAATCATATCCACAAGTTTCCGGGGGGCGCTCCTGTAAAAAATAAAGTGGGTGAAACTTCCGGTGAGGCGGCGGAAGTAGCATTCCAATGGTATTTTGTGTGTTAGTTAGCGAAGAGGCTAGCTATTTTTCGGGGAATTATTTTACTATTTAAAGATGCAAATCTTTATGAGAGATGTCGTTACGGAGCTCATGGACAACATGTGCTGTTCGCGGTTGTATGTATAACCGGACTAAACTAATTCAGTGGCTTAAACGTTATTGTTTTGAACATAAGTCGAAAACGAAATCAGAGTGATCCTGTCAACAGCTGTAGTTTCCATCACTTCCCAAAAGACGACGAATCTTCCTGTGTACATTTGTTTAAATTCTTAATATTCTATAAACTCTATCAGCATGTGATTGGCTGTTCGCTACTGATGTTACACCTAAACTCAGGATCAAAGCATGAGTTGACAAAATACCAAATGTGCCAGTTAGTTGCACATTCATTTATAATTCTGAATAAAGTCCAAAGCACAATGACTAAGTGTGTATTTTTTATTTTAATTGTTTGTCAGCTCACACAACTGTCTGTCACCATTCCTTGATGAGTATTGATTATTAATAATATTATTATAATACTCCCAACCAACTACTGCAGAGGGTAAAGGTACTGTTATTTCACCCTTTTTAATTTCGTTGAGGTTGTGTTCCCACATCGTTAGCTATTTTGGATCGCTATAACTTGAATGACTGTCAACTGTTGAATGAAAGAGTGTCAAGCATGTCAAGTCGCGCTTTGTTTACTTCAAACCGGAAGACACACCCACTTTTGACGCAAGGCCTCATGGGGCGTAGGAAACTTGTGGATAGAAATGTGTTTTAAGAATTATTTTTTTCAGTGGATGTTGTCCGCACATGTGTTCTGTGTATCTGGAATGCATTTATTGAGAACCTACCCAACCCACTAAGGATTTGATGAAAAAAATAATTTTTCACATTTTTCTGATAAAAAATAAAGGGTGCGTACACTAAAATGGCCACCATTTTTTTTCGCGATATTTCCGGCAGAGCAGACCCTCCAATTACAGTATTTGTTCTTAGGGTCAAAGTCAACAGAAAAAAATTCAAATAAAAAGTATGGCAGACCATGTCAGGTTCAACCCATTTTTGAGACTTTGGCTCCCTGACTATATAATACAATGCAAACAACTTTAGTCAGGCGGGGAAAAGACGTGGAGTTTTCTTGTGAGCGGAGCGGGAAATAGGGCGACGCTCCGTCCTTTTAAAAATGCGGCTCTGCGCTCTGTCCAAGATCCTCTCCTGCTCCACTCCGCTCACATGCTCTGCAGCTGCGAATGTAAGTTATGCCAAGTTCAGACTGCACGATTTTCAAAGTAGTTTCCTGCGAAGTCCTCATATGCGATTTCAACAAAATCTATCCAGAGTGGACCAAGCTCGCCAAGATAGCCTGTGTAATCCCTGTCTCGAGTGTTCCTGCAGAGAGAGGGTTCTCACTGCAGAATCGGATCAAGTCGAAGCAGCGAAGTCGCCTTGCAGAGAACAAGGTTGCGCGGCTTAATGCGCATTGCAAGTTGTGGAAAGACACTGCGAAGTTTTGATTTTAAGTCGGCAGCTGCACATTTCAGCATTGCAAAACAGCGTAAAAAGTAGCCTAAAATCACGCGAGACAGTGTTATAGGCCTAGTCATTTGTTTGTTCCAATTAATTTGACAAGGAGTCATTTCACGGTGGCCAATTTAAATGTTTTGCCTACCAGCTAAATGAGACGCTACTGAGGCCCCGTCCACACTACTGCGTTTTCGTTTAAAAACGGAGAATTAAAACGAAAACGATCTCCGTCCACACTAGCGTTATACCTGCGTATTAGAATTTATCTCCGTCCACACTAAAACGACTGAAAACGTGGATCACGTGACCATTCACCAACACTGGGCATGCGCGCGCCGGTGTAAACAGTGGTTGGCGAATCAGGGAAAGATACGTCATGACTGATGACACCCAATCATAGAGCCGAGCGTGAGCCTCTGCGTCATCGTTTGTAAACTCCTCCGTTTTGTCTCGTCCATACTAAAACGCCCTGCAGAGATTCAACACGCAGCTGCAGCGTTTCTAAACTTCTCCGTTTTAGGTCTTCGTTTTTCCCGTTTTAGTGTGGACGGGAGGTGCAAACGTAGCAAAAGGTCTCGGTTTTTAAACGAAAACGCAGTAGTGTGGACGGGGCCTGAGAGTGTATATAACTAGTTCGCTTGAGTAAAACTACCATTCAGATATTGTATGTGGGGAAGGGGGATTGGTTTGTTAAACTAATGTGAAACCAAAAACAATTGGCGTTGATTGACGCCAATCGGACGTTCATGTTTTCATGGTTTCTGTCTATTTAAAAGTTATGCTAATAAACATGTTGCATTCTATACAGCCTGATTATGTCATTTTTTAAAGGTTCACTATGTAACTTTTGACCCTCTAGCAGTTGGCCGAGTTGATAATCGTTTTATAACGAGCTCTTTCGCAGTCTATTTTTGCAAACAGAAGCTTGCAAACAGAAGATTTTGCTGCTCCATGTCAACCTTTCTCGCTTATTGTGACAAATTACCTTTTGCCACACTAACATGCATCATAGCTGGAGCAACTTTTGTTTATGGATTTGACGAGACACACACAGACGAGTGACCTGCGCGATTTCACATGAAAAGTAACCTGCTTTGTCTAAAATATAAACACTTATAACAGGCTTACCATAGTGAATCAGATTAAGACAAAAACATGTTTTTGAAGAAGGATTGATGGTGTATTGTCTCATTTAAATTTTGTTAATTTTGAACCAAAAAAAGTTACACAGTGCACCTTTAAGTAACATAGCCTGCCTCCAGTTTTCCTCAACTTGACTAATTAAGAGGCGATATTTGACCAGCATATCATCAAAATGTCCGTTAAACTAAACCTCTGCCGGTCACTTTGACCGGCACCATTTTTTTCTAGCGGAAACTTTGGTAAATATGTATGTATGTTGTCCTTTCAATTTTTTCTTGTCTGACTCCTGAATGAAAGGCTCTTTGTCTCTCTCAGATGAGAATCACCTAATTATACATGATGAGGGCTGGCCACGCCCATTCACATATTGCCTTGGCAAACAAAAAATGTTTTTCACAATATAACCCAATTCCAGTGTTGGGGAAGCTACTCTAAAACTGTAGTTTGACAAGCTACAAGCTACTCTTAAGTTAAAGTAGTTAAACTACAGTCAAGCTACCCTTTTGGAAAAGTAGTTAGCTACACTACAAGTTACTATCAAAAAGTAGCTAGCTACATTGAAACTACTTTTACTTTTTGAACAACGTAAATTATAAATAACTGTCTGAGGAATGTTTTAATGAAATATTTAGTGTTTAAAATAATGCAATACAATTATGATTTCAAAGAGTATTGTTTTATTACACACAAAACTCAAATATCTCAGACTGTTTGTCAAAAGTCCAAAATTGCAACAAATAGCCTACAACATTTCAAGAACAAAATATACATCCAACGTAAATTGCATGTAGAATATTTTCTCAAAAATACAGATTGAACTTGGACAAATAAGGCCATGGGTAATTAACGTTAGTTGTTTCTCCATCCTCCAAATCTGCCGTCACATCTTGCTCCATCATGGATAATCATAATTTGGGTGTGTCAACCCACTTCTGTACGTCAGTGAACCGTTAGCCGCAACAGGTGGCGGTAATGGCAAAAAATGAGTTTGTAATCTAACAAGAAGAAGAATATCCTTGTATCGCGCTGATTTGCGCAGGTTCGTTCGAGAAACGCAATGTAGCTTTTGGTCGCGCTACACCGCTACTTGATGCAAAAAGTAGTTAGCTACTGGAAAAGCTACACTGTTTAAAAAGCAACTGAGCTATTGCCAAGCTACTGAAAAATGTAAAGTTAGTAGCGCCGCTACTAGTAGTTAACTACTCCCCAACACTGCCCAATTCACAGTTTTATGTGAAAGATTAGGCAGGATGATTTTCAGATCATTGTGAAGAAAAAACTCTAGCCAACAACATCCATTAGTCAAAAGTAATGTGGACGTTTATTTCGTATGTGTTTTGTGGCCTTATTTTAGAAACTTTCATTTTTAATTTTTTCAATAACCACACATAAACAATATTCTCTCAAAAATACAAACATGTACATACATGTTGCTCACTTATTATGGTAGCCCTGTTTGTGCTAAATATAGTGTAATTTCACCTGTGCCATTAATATTTTTATAAGCAACTTAAAAAAGCACAAATGTCCTTGGTCCCCAGGGGTTTAAAGTAACCCTCTTTGTCCTTATCCATCACTCTGGGTTTAAGTTTTTTTTAGTCATATTTAAATATAGATTCTAGTTTCTTTTTATGTGTATACACAATATCTGGGTTAAAAGCTTTTGGTACACAGTTTACCTTACAATTGGGGCTGTCAATTATGATATTAACATATTAATTAAAACCAGGTCACATCAAAGTCCCAGTTATTGTGAGAAAAAAAACAATTGTATTTTGTGTATACACACGATTACATTCCCTCTCTCTTTCTTCAGGCATATTGGGCAGTTTGAACAGACTGATAGAGTACAACACTGTACCAAAGGTAGGCCACACTTCTACATCCACAAAATTACTTTCAAAGTCTGGATCCCTTTTGTTGGCATTGTTTGGAACTGCTGGTGTGTGTAATATTTGTCTGTGCTGAAGGAAAGGTGATACAATTCTGAAAAAAGTCTACTGTAACTACTGTACACAAAAACAAAAAATGTGAGAGTCAAATATTGCACAACTGTGGTGAAAATGTTCTGAGTTGACTGAAATGTCTCGTTAAACATTTGCATGACAGATAATCTGCAGAAAGCTTGGGTGTCTGTTTTATTCTGCCATCTTTTTATCCCCAAGCTAACAGGAAAAATGCCTGGACAGATATCCATTATGTACACTACATGTGTTTTCAGAGGAACCATTGGAAGTCCAGACTGAAGCAAGGTTGAAAAGAATGATTGAGGTGTAGGAGACAAGGCTACGTTCACACTGCAGGCTGAAACGACCTAATTCCGATTTTTTTTGCCCCATGCGACCTGTATCTGATTTTTTCATGACAGTCTGAACGACACAGATCCGATTTTTTTCAAATGCGACCCAGGCCACTTGGGTATGTGGTCCAAATCCGATATGTATGAAATATGTATGAAATGCTTTTGAAATGCGACTTAAATCTGAACGGTCAGCTCACATATATCCGACCCGCACGTCATTGCACGTCATTGCTCGTCATTGCTCTAGCTAGCCAATACACGCTAACTCCAACGCGTTTCTGCACCGTTATGGGCCGCTGCAGACGTGTCTCTTCCCCAGTATCATATTTTGGGCGAACATGACAGTTCACGTTCACCCAAAATAAACGTACTGTATTACTGCCTGATGAACATTACTGTGAACACGTTCATTCTGGTGTCTGTGAACGTGCGCTCTCTGTCAGTTTAACTTCGTACAGTAGGGTGCCAGATTTCTATAGAGCATTCCTGGCTAAAACACATGTAAACATGCCTTAAAATGTAGCGAAAAAACACCCAATCTGGCAACACCAGCCACCAGTGTTGCACCGCGGCCACCGGCGACAAAGCAAGGAGCGCCGAGGACGCGTACTATCTATTAAACGGGTTTTATGACGAGGTCGGTGACGGTGAGGATCGGAAAAATCTTACATTTATGTACAAACTTTGCCCGTCGATAAAATAATTGTTGTCTGTGTTTGTATATGGGCTGTGACAATAATAAAACAAAAGCTCGCAACATATGGAAAAAAAGAACTATTCCGCAAACAACAAGTGACGTCGTTGACCGCTGTTTACTCTTCTGCGCATGCGGGTCACTTCTGGGTCATTTCACGTTCACACAGGAGATCACAAAAGGTCGCATTTAATTGGAAATGTGAACGGCCTTGCAAAAAAATCTAATTTTTTCAAAAAATCGGAATTGAGCATTAAGCCCTGCAGTGTGAACGTAGCCAAACTGGAATGTTTCTGGAAATTAGTTTGGAGTGTTTGTGTGTGTTTGTATTTACTGTAAATATTAATTTTTTCCTGGTTAGATTATATATATATATATATATATATATATATATATATATATAAAAAAATAGAAAAAAATTCCTGATCCCTTTTCAAAAGGGTGCCCTTTCTTTTACACGACTGTAAGGCAAAATAGGTTCCTTCACAAAATGTTCATTCTTTTAATGAAACATTTTTTTTTTCTTTAAGATATCAGGATGTTAAGATATTTTCTATTTTTTTTATTTAGCATGGTATAATTTGAGCAACCAGGGAAAAAAAATCATATTTACAGTAAATGCAAACTCACACACCCAACAGTCCAAACAAATTTCCAGAAACATTCCAGTTTGTTCACCATATTAAACGTAGAGCTGTCTGGAGGCTCCAGCCAAGGCTTCAAATGGTTGACATGTGCCATGTGTGACAAAGTACACCATGATTAAATAGCGTGTAGAACCACCTTTAGCAGCATACTACATTCAAATTTGCAAACCAAAGTCATAATGCATGTTCTTTTTAGAGAGAAGAAGCTTTCTCCTGGCAACCCTTCCAAACATGCCATACTTGTCCAGTACTGCCATGAATGTTGACATTTAACATGTTATTTGAGGCCTGTAGATTCTGAGGTGTAGTTATTGGGTGTTTTGTGATTTCTCTGAGCAGTGCACGGTCTGACCTTGGGTTGAATTTGCTGGGATGTCTGTCTTGAATGTTTATCAAACCCATATAGAATCAAAGATGCAAAGGGTACTGTATATTTCTAAGAATTTGGCTGGTGTGTTTTAAACAGGATTATTATTTTTTTGGACATTCATATTTTTCATTGACCAAAATACTCATTGTATACCTGAGCCTAGCCTAGATGTAGCCTAGCCTAGATGTGTAAGACATCAAGATAATATCTCACAAATTACAAAGCTTCCAAGAACAAAAAAATCTATATTTAGTATGGTTTCATGACTGAAATGTTGAAATAAATATTGATTATTTTTGCAAGCTACAGTAGTGTGTGGAATCTTTAAAGATCCGCTAATAGCAGGCTGTGTATTTCATATTCCCTGTCTAAAGTTTACAACCAGTGTAATTGGCTTTTTTTTGGGACTAAATAATATGTTTAAAAATAACCTGAAGTATGTCTAGTCTGACTTGTATGTTAAAGAGAGCCAATGCAAAGATAGTTCAGCCACTTTGTTTTCATTTACCAGGGACGAGCATGTGAAGAATCGGTGGTTAGAGTTCATATTTGCAACGATACTACAACAGTATAGCCCGATTGTGTTCTCATCATTTTAATTACGAATCGTTCAAAAACATAAATGAATTCAAATGTGGATTCGCAAGCGGTTGTTCCTGAAGGAGGGCTCAGTAACTTACTTACCCAGTGTATATGGATCAGCTTCCTCCTATGAATCACAACCTGTAAGTATTATTAATAATTGTTGCTTTTGTGGGTTTTGAACGGTTTTGTAGCATCGGGGCGCGAGGAGGGAAGGTGCAATAAGTATGTGTGTGCGTGTGTGTGTGTGTAAGTTACGCTCAGCGCAGCTTCTAGGTCTCCAATGTCAATTTTTTTTAAATATGTGAAATGTTTGTCGCTGTTATTGGAGTTGTCTTAAAGAATAGAGCATCTTGTAGTACTGCAGTGCTTTATCAATATGTTTATGCGTTATAACTGACTGGGTCTGTCATCTGACCAATCACCGCCGATTAGCGTCACACAAAGGAGTGGTTTGGAAAAATGAGTCGTGTGTATTTGGGAGTCGGTGAGCAAATCAGTTAAAATAAATGCATATTATAAGACAAATAAAGTGTTTTTTATCCTTGCATGCATGTTAAACTGCTTTTGGGAACTCCTAAAACAAAAATAGGAACATTTCAAATGCTATGATAGGGGCTCTTTAAGACCCAGTGACATGAGGCTCTCATGTGACCAGGCTGTGTTAAAGCTACGTTCTCTCTTGCTGTCTCACCTTTGGCATCTAAATAAACTGGGTTGATGTGTTTGGGTTTACTATTAGTCACATATAACAAGTAGCCTCCTACTGCTTCACTTGTACTTGCAGTGCATGGGTGCCCTTCTTTTCAACACTGTAACCAAGCCAGCTGCCAGCTGAAGTCAAAGGTCATGGGTTGACGTGGGGTGCGACAATTTGCCGCCCAGCTCTCAGCACAACATTTGTTTTTTGGGTGGGGGATGGATGTGCCATTCCCAGCTGCCAGAGACAGGCAGTGACTAATGTCACGTCTGCATGTCCACCAGTGATGCGCGGGTTGATCCAAAATGAGCGGGTGCCTGTGGTAACCCACGGTTAGCCGCAGTCACGAGTCATCCAAAAATATTTTTAAAGATATTTGGGTCGCGGCCGGTCGTTTGAAATAAAGATGCCAATTAAACCTTTGTATTTATATAGTAGGCTACTAGACACAATTTTTTGATGAAATAGGCTACATAGGCCTACACTTTATTGGCTGAATAACTGGCACGAAGATGACACACAAGCTCAGTCAAAACAGTTCTCGGTTCTGTACTGGTGATCCGAGAACCGCTGTACCTGTGCATTCGTATGTATGCATATGCTCAGTATCAGCTGCTCGTGCTCATCACTTCTCTCAGCAGTGGCACCAACATGTCTCAGTTCAGTTCAGTGGAGTAAAATATAGGCTACTGCGGGATATTGGTTTATTTCGATTCGGAGGAACTGTCAGGCATGTCTGAATAACTTTAGTTAATTGTGGATCAGTGCTGACCCAAGACGCGAATGATTGATGTTTGAATGATTGAATGAAGTTTCGAATGATTCAGTCCGATTTAGTGTACTGGTTCGACCGGGTCACTAAAAAGAACCAGTTCAAAAGAACGATTCGTCACGAACCTGCCATCACTAACGTTACAGTCTGCAGCTAGAGATAGATGCGGCAAGAGAAAAGGTGTAGACTGGGTAGTGGAAGCTCGGCAAATGTGTGGGAGACATTTGCCGAATTAATGAAATATGATGACCAAAGTGCTGGCTTTGTGTGTACTTCTTGCAATGATATTTACACATTTGTGTTATACGCCTATGGCCCAATGACGCTACGATGATCAACTACTTTTAAAAAATCCGGGTCAGGAAGCGGGTCGGGTACAATATTTTCTTTATTTTTTTTTTTACCGTCCGAGTTGCGGGTTAGTTGAAAATGTTGGTTGGGTGTGGGTTGTTTATACATTGACCCGCGCATCACTGGTGTCCACTAACATGCAACAGGCCCTCAAAGAGTTAGCAGTTGGCCAATGCTACACAGTCCAACTTTACATGAAGTGTAAAAGAGGATAGATACAGTATGTCAGATAGTCAAATGCTCCCTATTGTCTGTGGAGGCACTGTGGGAGAACATTGCACACAGACTGCAAGTTGTGTAATACTAGGAATGGGTATCTGGTAGTGGTGACGGAAAAAATCAATTCTGTTCAGTATCGCAATATTTTGCGCACGCAATTATATCGATACAGTAGCGCAAAGTATTGCAATATTTAATTATAAAATTATCTGTTTTACTCGTGGGTTTT